CTTAAGGTAGACAAGTAAGCTAGGTATGGGAACTGTGGTGGGATGCAGATTGCGTCTCATGCATCAATGTTGGAAACGTGTCCATTTGTTCCGGTAAGTGTTCCTCGTGGAGGGATGATGGCTGTTTAGAAGAGCTTGTTTGACCCTGTCTGAGCAGGTAAGTTCTTCATTCTGGAACCACTGAGGAACCAAGCTATAAGTTTCATGGTCTTGATATTGAGGTGGTGTATAGTACCGCAGCGTTGTGTGAGGCGATTCAGCAATGCTGGGAGAGGGATCGGTTGGTCTATGGACAGGAAGGATAGGTAAGGAAGCCAGGGCTGTCTCGGCCATGCTGGGGCTATCAGGATTACTGTGGCCCGATCAGATCAAATCTTGTTGATCACTATGGAGATGAGTGGAAATGGTGGAAAGGCATATAGAAGAGGAGCTGTCCAGTGGATGGTAAAAGCATCCCCTTCCAACCTCTTGCCTACTCCTGCCCAAGAGCAGAATCTGTGACACTTGCAGTTGTGCAGTGCTGCAAAGAAGTATATAGTTGGGAAGCCCCATTTGTGGAAGATTGTGAGAAGGATGTTGGTATTGATCTCCCACTCGTACTGATCTGAGAAATATCTGCTCAGTCTGTTGGCCCTGACGTTCTGTTCTCCTGGAATGTACATTGCTGTTGGTGTTGTGGTTCCTGATGCACCAATTCCAAAATCTGACTGCCTTGGCACAGAGTGTGTGATCGGGCACCTCCCTGACAGTTGATCTAAAACATGGATGGCGTGACATGAATCGCTCTGCCCTTTATAAGAGGCAAAATGTGGGCACACCCCTTGCGTATGGCTCTGCGCTCCAAGATATTGATATGGAGGTATCTTTTATGATGGGTCCATGTGCCCTGTATTGATGCTGACCCAAAGGGGGCTCCCCATCCCATAAGGGATGCATCTGTTAAAGTAACTGAGAGGTCTGGTCGGTGGAAGGGTACACCGGTGAGAAGGTTGTGCAGCGATGTCCACCAGTCATGGGACTGTAATACCATTGGAGAAGGTGAGAGGTGTTTGGCGATGCTGTGTCGGGCTGGTATATAGTTGTTTGTGAGCCAATGCTGTAGGCAATGCATTTGCAGTCTTGAGAAGGGGACCACAAAGGTTGTAGCTGCTATATGGCCTAGCAATTGTAGGTATGTGTGGACCGTGGATAAAGGGGCCTGTCAGACCTGTTGGGCAATGTTGCAGATTGCGGTGAATCTTTGCAGCAGAAGGTAGGCTCTCGCTGTGACTGAATCAAGTAATGCCCCAATGAATTCTATCTTTTGTGTGGGTTGTAGGGTGGATTTTTATATGTTGATAAGCAAGCCCAGATGCAAAAAACATTCTCTGGTGGTAGTTGTCATGATAGTGGTTTGGTGATGGGTGGGGCCTTTGATTAGGCAATCATCTAGGTAAGGAAAGATAATTATGTTCTGCCTTCTGAGAAACACTGTGACTATGGCCAGCGTCTCTGAAAACACACGAGGGGCAGTAGAAAAGCCAAAGGGGAGGACAGTATTCTGGTAATGATCCTGTCCCACCACAAATCTGAGGAATCTTCTGTGGGACTGGTCTATAGTCACATGAAAATATGCGTCCTGTAGGTCGAGGGCTGAGAACAGGTCCCCCTCATCCAGTGCAGGTATTATTGTTGCAAAGGTCACCATTCTGAATTTTGAATAAACTTGTTGAGGTTCCGGAGGTCTAAAATCGGTCTCCAGCCCCCTGATTTTTTCGCTGTGAGGAAGTAATTAGAATAGAATCCCTTCCTGTGATGTTGTTCGGGTGTGGGTTCCACCGCTCCTAGAGCAAGAAGCTTCAGGACCTCTGCCCATAACAGAGGTTCGAGAGAGGGGTCCCTGAAGAGGGATGGGAAGGGGGCATGGAAGTAAAGGGGATTGTGTAGCCCAATCTGATGACTTCTAGGACCCATTTGTATGTAGTAATTAGGGCCCACTGGTGGTAGAAAGGCCTCAGGCAGTGACCAAAGATGACACTGGACTGCACTGGGGATGTGGGGTGGTTGCTCAGATCCCTGACCAAAACTTCAAATTTGCTGTTTGCCAGAGGTGGAGTGGCTTGCAGAGGACTGGTTTTGGTGGTTCCTCCTTCCATTAGGGCATTGCTTGGGTCTGTTATTGTATGGCCTGTGTTGCTGCCTATAGTGATTGTAATTGTAACTGTAACCCCTTGGTTTCTGAGGAGGAGTAAATTAACTAAACTATGAGGTAACAGGGGTAGAATTAACTAGGAACTGACTTTCTCCCTCAGGAGGAAGAGCACTGCTGAGAGCCGTCTTCAACCAGGGACGGTTGAAAAGGAACTGATGGGACTTGCGCTGTGCACGCTCCATGGCCTCGGATGAGAGGGGGGGGGCTGAGTGCGCAGTGCGAGTGGCACTGCTATGCAAAACTCTATCGCCGGTGCAGGGACTCACCGAGACCTGAGTGGAGCACCCACAGGGACACCACTCGAAGAAGTGATTATTCCCCTTTATTTGGCACTGGTGAAGCCACATCTGGAATATTGTGTCCAATCCCCCTCATTACAGAAAGGATGTGGACGCACTGGAGAAAGTCCAAAGGAGGGCTATGAAAATGATTAGGGGGCTGGAGCACATGACTTATGAGAAGAGGCTGAGGGATTTGGGCTTATTTGGTCTACAGAAGAGAAGAGTGAGGGGCGATTTGACTATCTGAACGGGGGTTCCAAAGAGGATGGAGAGAGGCTATTCTCAGAGATGACAGAACAAGGGTCTCAAGCTGCAGTGGGGGAGGTCTAGGTTGGATATTAGGATAAACTATTTTACTAAGAGGGTGCTGAAGTATTGGAATGGGTTACCTAGGGAGGTGGTGGAATCTCCATCCCTAGAGGTTTTTAAATTCTGGCTTGACAAAACCCTGGCGGGGATGATTTAGTTGGGGTTGGTCCTGCTTTGGGCAGGGGTTTGGACTCTGACTTCCTGAGGTCTCTTCCAACCTTATGATTCTAGAAGTAATATCCTCATGAGCCTTTCAAGTACCCATGTCTTGCCTATTCTAATTATTTTCTATTTTGTTCACAAAGTAATAGGACTGATTTTATCTACTGAACTTGTTTCATTAGGCAACCATGAGAATAAAGATCTGGGATATCAGGTTACTTTGCTGATCAGATATTTGTCAAAAGGAATTTGCTATCTTGATTGCTTTAAGGATAGTAGAAATTGCCTCTCCACTGAAAAAAGGAGACAGTGCTTTCACATCACTAGTGACAACTGTATTTTGCAAGAAATATGGGGACTTGCCAAGTCTTGAACTGGATACATATACTAATTCTCCTGTGTGTCAAGGTATCAATTTGTCTGTCCCTTGGTGGCTCCCAGATTTGGCAGCAATAGCTGAGGAGTCTATTACAGTTAAGACTGCCAGGATTAGCCAACAAGTCTATACTTTGATATACTGCCAGTTGCAGTCAACCACACCTCAATTTGAAAAAACCTGTGGTTAATTAATGGTGTGACTAGCTCAAATGTTGGCAATTTTGAGATTTAAGGTTAGTGTAGAAAACCTAACTTGCCACTGTTACCTGCATTTTTCAATCTCTGCAACTGCTAATATTAAGTAATCTTATCTACCATAGGTTTTTCTGTTTAAATGCCATCTCATTTGTTAACTGCCTCAGTGATATGAGAGGTGATTCCTTTCACTGTAATGTAATGTAACCAGTTATTCTAGAATGGGAAGAATGTCCCAAGCTGTTGGAATACATTCATCCATTTCCAGGGCTCGACAAATAATACAATCTACTCACCCGTGGTGAGTAGATTGTAACCTGGAAGAGCCAGGTTTGGGCGATCTGCTCATGCGCAGAACGATCTTGCACGTGCAGATCACCAGACAGCGCGGCTGGCGAGTGGGGCTCGGCGAGCCCTGTCAATTTCAATTGACAAAAACTAGAATCAATTCACCACCAGTGCACATTCATTTTTTAGAAAGTCATTCAGGTAGAATGCAGTTTCCCTCAGGGTGTGGGCTTGCTCAGTCAAACAACACGGGGTATGACGGCACTTGGGAGTTTTGGGGAGAAGTCCCCATTGATGTTCTCACTTCCTTTACATCAATGGAAATTCAAGTGCTGACAGGGCTACAGACATTTGTCATTGTGTCAAATAAATGTACTTAAAATTGGCAATGTCGGAGGACACTGGGTGCCTTGTCTAAACTTCAGCTCACAAAATTCAGCTACCCCAGTGGTAAATTTTAGGTTCCATTTCTTGTACAGACAAAAAAAGTGAAGCTTCATTTTGTTGTATATTGGTGTGTACAAGAAGGCATCTTTTAAGTGCTGATTTCCAATAAAATGCAAACTTTCCCCACTCAGAGAAGGAGAATAGGGAAGGAGTTTGGGGAAATGGAAGAGCAAAGGGCAAGGAGAATTTCTCTCTCCTGATCTAGCAGCTGCTCCTCGAAACATGAGGAGGAACCAGAGAGGTGTAAAAGCAGCACCCTATTGGGAATGGCACTATTTTAGAGACACTCGTCTACAGCTGCAAATTATAGCTGCAAGTGCCAAAAAGGGGGCTCCTACCAACAATCCCAAAACGGGTAGGCTAAGTTTGGAAGCTGAGCCAGGCTAGCCCTGATCTTTCAGAATGTCTAGGACAGGGTTTTTGGTTGCTAGAGTTAACTGTAAATTCTAAATTTAAGTCATTTGACAATTATGCTAACTGTGCGGCCATTCAATGACTACGTTATAGTGCACAAGTGTTTGCTTCCTTCTGTGGTTCAGCCTTGGAACAAAAATTTTGTGGAATTGCTTGAGTCAACTGGCAATCAACTAGTTACAATATTACCAAAACTAGTCTAGACAAAGCCAATATGATTTTTGTGAAAAACACCCTAGCGCGGATTTATATTTTAGAGGCAATCACTGAGACTTGCTTGCTTCACTTTTAAAAATATGACATTGACATGCAAAGAGATCAAGATTCTTACTTACTTCCTCATTAAATAATTTGCTAGTTTCTTTTTTAATAGGGTCTATAAGTTGGACCTGGCCTGCAGAGAAGCCAACTAGGAGAGAGACACTTTCTGCTGTGGCTGTTAAGTGATTGAAGTCATGACAGGTTGGTTGTGTTCCTTTGTATATCCTTTTGTCTATTGGTTTACTCAAGTCAGCAGCCTGCAAAAAGAGCAATGAAAACAAAAATTAAAATACAGTCTGTTATGTATATACTTTTTAAGATAGAATTTAGTTTATTAGCAAACAAGTTTGCTGTATATAGCAAAATGATCAAAACAATGGTTAACCTTAAGTTTCAAAGCAACTTTAAGTATTAATCAGCTTGGATTTAGTAAGTTACCACTGCCACGTGAACAAACCGTGAGATGCTTTCAACAATTTAACACACACCAAGACGTTTATCTAATACATGTGTATTTCAGTTTTATTGAACACTGAATCAAGTCCATGCACTGTAGTTTCACTATATCCCACAACAAATTAATGACACTCAAAAGAATAATATCTAGGCTTCAGCCTCTATATAAACATTTCTACCAGAGATGCTTCTGAGAAGGGATGCTCCGAGGGATAAGGGAAGTTTTCCCACATACCTGTTTCTAGGCAGAGTTGTGTTGGTACTGATTACAGTATAAGAAACAGGTATTATTAGCCATCGGGTTTCATAGGCCATTTCTGTATTAGGGGACCCTGGAACCATTTTGAGCTCCTTATCTGTCCTTTACAATATTTGCTGCTGCCATAGAATCATATATAAACTAGATGGTTAAATGTAACAAACAAGCACCTTTGTGCTTTTTCACATTCTGCTCACATGCTTGGGAATAGTTTCCTGTAAACATCCACAAAACTCACTCATTACTCTCCTTTGCTGTGATGCCTACAAAAAAATTGACAATAGTTCAATTCAGGGGTTCTCATGTTTCATTGCACGGTGACTCGCTTCTGACAACAAACAATACTACATGACCCCAGAAGAGAGAACCAAATCCTAAGCCAACCTGAGTCCCATCAGCTGGAGAAGGGTAAACCCCAACCTCTCATTGGACTGGACAAGGGTCAGGGGAGAATCAAAGCCTCAGGGCTTTAGACCAATGCAGGAGGTGCGTAACCACAGCCCCAACACCCATGACTGAAGACTTCAGGCTTCAGCCCTGAGTGGTGATACTTAGCAGGAGCTGGAGCTAATGCTAAAGTCCAAGTCTAAGCCAGCCCTAGCAATCTCATTAAAATGGGATCTCGACCCATTCTGGGATCCAGACCCACAGTTTGAGAACTGATGCTTTGGTTGATGCTATGCTGAGACCACAGAGGATCATGCTGACAAATATTGTCACATTGTTTCTAGGGATGTTAAATATCAGTTAATTGAATTATCACTTAACTCATGAATTCTTATCCGTTAGTCAACTATTGTATAGTCCCCAGGCAGCCCCCATGGGGGGGGTGGGGAGGGGGGAGGGAAGGGAAGAGAAGAGTGGTTTGAGCTCCTGGACCCAGCATAAGCTAGAACTGAGCCGGGCTGCTTGCTTGGCTCATAATACACTTTAAATACAGAGCCACAGCAGGGATAGGTCCAGGACCCAGTGCAAGCCGGGACTGAGCTGGGCTGCTGGCCAGCCTGCTAAAAAAATTACTGGCAGGGAAGAAATGCGTGTAGTCTATGGCATTAACCTATAAGCTTTTGCTTATTGGTTAATCGACTATACTATTACATCCCTAATTGTTTCCTTGTATCCAGTATGCATACATCTGTTGCTTTCTTAGAAATCTATGCCTTTCCGAGCAGGAACAGTCTTATATAGCTCCTAACAAAATGGAGTCCTTGTCTGCAACAGGGGCTCCCAGGCACAATGGCAATCTAAATAATGTACACAATTTTTATCTTTTTATCTTATCTACACCATAAGATATCTATCTGTAGGAGACTATTCTCTATATTGTACATCATTGTTCTGTACTATGAGACTCTCATACAGTCTATGCACATGCTGTCTGTACTACTGGGACTGTAACATTTATTCTGGAGGAAGACTTGGATCCCCATTACCATCAGTAAATTAAAGGACTCAGACTGTCAAAGAAAATTAAAGGCATAGAGTAGTTTCCACATAACAGACAGGAGACATGGAGACATTTAATTAGTCTCTCCTAAAGTATCTTTTCTGCTCTGGAAGACAGATTGCCATTTCATTGCTCTCTAGATGTGTTACAAGAATCAACAGTGGAAGATGACAAATTGAAAAAAGTGATTTTAAATTCTTCCTAAACCCTTTCTCTTTACATCTATTATACTTCAAGAAAAAAAATCCACTGTCAAGCAATCAGAGCATAAAAGTAGGATTGGAAGGGGCATCACAAGCTCATCTAGTCAAGTCCTCTCTGCTGAGGCAGGACCAACTATACCTCTAAACCAGCAGTTCTCCAACTTTAGCAAATTGAGGATTCCTATTTTGATTTTAAAAAAATGTGGGGAGTTCCTACACCATGCCTTTTCCAAGGCTCTAGCCCCCAATTTGCTTCATCTTCCCCCTCTCTGTTGCTCACTCTCCCCCACACTCACTTTGACTGGGCTGCAGCATGGCACTGATGTGTGGGAGAGGAGTGAGTGCCCTGGCTGGAGGTATGGGCTGTGTGGTGGGACTGAGGATGCATGAGGGGGGTTCCAGACTACAGAAGAGAGTTTGGATGTGGGAGGGGACTCAGGCTGGGGTAAAGGATGGTATGCAGGAGGTGGTGTGCTGTCCTGGCAACACTTACTACAGCTCCTGGAAGCAGCTGCTACTAGAAATGGAAGCTGCAGAGCTGGCACATTGGCTGGGGCAGTGCAGAGCCTGTCTGATTACCCCTGCACCTGGGGCCTGCCTCAGAAACCTAGAAGCTGCTTCCAGGAGCTGCACAAAGTGGGTAGGGAGCTTGCGTTAGCCGTGTGCCTCTGGCGACAGTTGGAGGAAAGATAAGTTGATCAGCAGAATCCACGGATCTTAGTTCTTAGCCGTGTGCCTCTGGAGATAGCTGGAGGAAAGATAAGTTGATCAGCAGAATCCACGGATCTTAGTTTGTGAAAAACTGCTTTAGATCATCTCTGACAGATGCTGTCCAACCTGTTCTTAAACACCTCTAATGATAAGGATTCTACAACCTCCCTTGGAAGCTTATCCAGATCTTAATTATCCTTACAGTTAGAAAGCTTTTCCGAATATCTAACCATCTTAATATTCAGCAAGATTGAGGTTATTTCTTGCACTACCTTCAGCAGACATGGAGAACAACTGAAGGAGGTCCATGCCAGATTCAGCACAACCATGCCTTCAATTAAGATGTGAAATCACACCACATCTTCACAGATGTTTAGGGCTTCAAGTTGACAGGAAAGCAGTTTTTACACTTGTTTCAGCAACATCCTGCTTGCTTTCAAGCCATTGAAAAACCGCTATTTAGAAGATTCAGAACATATGACAACTACAGTAATAGTCATATTTGAGTTGGCACAGCTATATATTGTAGTTATATAACGTGCCCAAAAGAGCTTGTGCCCTTTTGATGCATGAGGTCATGGGGGTAGGGGGGTGTTACATGAAAGTCCAGCTCCTAACTTTGAGGATGGGGTGGGGGGGAGGGGTGGTTACATGAAAAAGTCCAGCTCCTAACTTTGAGGATGGGGTGGGGGGAGGAGTTTCACCCAATCAGTAAGCTTGGTAACTCAATATTCTTGTCCTTTCAACTACAAAGTCCATGCATCTGTTAACCAAATGCATCTGTTAACCAAATAGCCACATCCATCCCTTCAGGGGGGTTAAACAGAACTATATTTTAAATTCCTCTTCCTCTACTGGAAGAGGATAACTTGGAGTACCCCCCCATTGAAGGTGATACCCAGATACCTGAACATGCAGCTGTACATGTGAGAAAGTATGAACAGACAACAAAGATGGCCACCCTATGGCAACTACCATTCTTAAGAGTATGTTTTGTTGGTTACTGCAGACCAATTGATTTGTAGGTTTCATCAATACATCATCTTAAGTGCCTAAATTATTAGCTTTAAATGTTTTTCTTTACATCTTGATGCACTATCCAGAGCACTAAGCCTGTGAAAAGTCTGTGTGGGATTGATGTAGATAGTGAGCACTATCAACTTTCAGTGCACGTCTGAGCTTCTCTACTGGTTGCAATGTTTGGACAAACAGAGAAGCACCACTCCTTGGACTGTGGGGAAAACAAGTTAATTTTAGGGATAAAAGCCAAGTCTGCTCAGAAAACCACATCATCGTGAAATCTGTAGTACTGTTCCCAAGAGGAAAGGCTCCTAGCTCTAAAACCCACAACATAAAAGTAACTGCTAACAAGAAAGCCATCTTGGAAACAAATACATGGACACTTCCCCAAGAGATCAAAAAAATGCAGAAGCAGGACATTAACAACCAAACTGAGTTCCTATGATTCCATTTGATTACTCTTAAGAGAATGAAGTTCAGATGCAGCTCTGAGAAAATGCTCATGATATCAGGTAAAGAGAGACACTCCTCCAAAGGCCGGAAAACTATGCCATATAGTGCAGCCACTTGTTTCCCATGCTAAAACGTCAACAATGAAACCACTGAACAGGCCTTCATGTACAAATTCTAATATCTATAATCCTCCAAAGGCCAGAAAACTATGCTATATAGTGCAGCCACTTGTTTCCCAAGCTAAAACGTCAACAATGAAACCCCTGAACAGATCTTCATGTACAAATTCTAATATCTATAAGGAGAATGCAAAAGAGAAAGCAGGGTGAATTTATTAAAGTCAGAAAGTATTTTAAATACACTGTACTGCTTCCTGATTTAATCATCAATTTTAATCTTTTGCATTTGTATTTATTTTCCTCAAGAAAGATGATTCTCACTGGTTAGTAACCATAAAAGCCATGCTGATTTGCCTTTATACCTATGGCTGCCAACCTTTTCACACCCAAGATCACCTTTTGAATTTAAGGCAACCCAGGATCTATCCCATCCCTTCCCGGAGGACCCAACTTTCTGCCAAAGCCCTTCCTCATTTGGTTTCCCCCACTCTTCACTTTCATTTGGCTGGAGCAAGGGGTGGAATGCAAGAGAGGGTGAAGAGAGTGGACTCGGAGGGAGTTTGGGTGGTGTTTGCAAGAGGGGGTGAAG